CTCCAAACCCAGCCGGAGTCTGCCGCAAAGCCCCAGGCTTTGCCGGCCGATGCGCCGCCGTCTACAGGACAACATCGCCGGAGACATCGAGCGACCATATTCCGACGATGACGGCGAAGTTACGCCGCCGGCTGATGCGGCGGCGGAATGGAAGAGGGGAAGGGGAGGGAGGAGGAGGGGGGCGGCGCTTCTGCTTATATTTGCGGTGCTCATGTTATTTGGATTTGCGAGCGTTTTTCAGATAAGCAGGATTACGGATGGCGCCGGCGTTTTGCACCACCACTACCGCCGGGGCGGCGGCGGTGGCGGCGGCGTGTTCAATGTTGAGATAGAGAATTTAACGGCCATACGAAAGAGCCACGCAATGGTATTTTTATTTTATTTTATTATTAATTTGATTCTTGCAGAAGAAATTGATATCTCATCTTATTTTATTTCTGAATTTTAACACTATAATCATTTTTACATACATATCAATTATTTATGCATGAAAATATGCATTTTATGTTTTTAGTAAAAATGATGATGTTTTTGATTAGATATGAAGGATTTAAGTGACATAAAAGTAAGAAACTAAGTGTAGATGTTGGATATGTAAATACATATGAATTGATTGGTATGCATGTAAATTCCTCGTAATCTTAACTTATAAAACATTTTTCAAGGGCGACAGAATATTCATTTCCAAAAATTTGAAGTGGAAGAAAAGGACAAAGTATATGGCATGATTATGAACACTTAACTTAAATGATCATTATATGTCATCTAGATACTTTATCTATAACATAAATGCCCAATCACAGAAAAAAATATTGTATCATGAGAAAAAATTATTGTATCATGAGTCTTGATCAATTTTGCATTAGAACTCCAATTAGAACCTGCCACATATAGAGGCAAGTGTACCCATGTATTGAATTAGGGGCGCCATCTCATCCTTATTTAAATACTATATATAAGATGAAGAGAGAACAAAAATTAAAGGATCCATTCCAAAGTTTTATTTAAAAAAAATACTCACATTTTTCAGTCCCTAAATTTATATAAATATCAAAATAGTCCCCAAAAGATTCCTATAACATATATGGTGCCATGCTTGTGACACATCTTAGTTTAAGATTGAAGAATTAAATAAATGCTTTAAATAACCAACGCAGAGTCTTCTAAGCAAAACTTTTCTCTGGCTTACAGGTCCCAGAAATATGGAGAAGACCTTATAACCAAGGCTACGAGCAATGCATCTCCAGACCAAAAGATAAAATAAGTAAAATTCAAACGCATCTCTGATCCCCACCAATTTACTCATTTATTTCAACATTGTACAAAACTTTCATCGTCCAGGACCTGCTACTTCAACCTCAAATGGCTATCTCATAGTTCATGCCAATGGCGGTCTTAATCAAATGAGAATTGGAGTAAGTATCCAAAACACCAACTGGCCTGATTTTATATTAGGAGTTCTCAGTTGCAGGCAAAATAACATCTTCTGAGCTAAAATAATTGTGATTGTTACAATGCAGATTAGTGACATGGTGGCGGCGGCTAAGCTAATGGATGCAACACTTGTGCTTCCCCGTTTGGATCACGATTCCTTTTGGAGAGATTCAAGGTAATAATGGTTTTAGGATCATGATTGTAAAATTGTGGTGGAAAAAATAATTTCTTAAGAAATTATGGAGAAAATATTATTATTTATTTTTTCAAAAATCAGAAAATTGTCTTTTACATATATGTATGCAAAAAGCAGCTTCGTATCATAAAAAATTCTATAAAGCAATAAGAAAATTATTCTCCAAACAGAATTGTTGTTGTAGTTTAAATACAAAGTTGATAGCTATCTCAAACAGGGAAAATATTTGCATACATAAGATGTACGCAGCTCTAGTATAACCCGGATATAACTCCCCTGTACCCCCAGAATAACCTCTGATGTACGCAGCGCTGCGTACATCTTATGTACGCAAATATTTCTCCTCAAACAGACTCTTAAATCTCTCTTTCTAATGTTTCTTGGAAAGGAAAAAGTTTTTGACAGTGATGATGTATGCTGATTTTTCTGTTGTAGTGAATTCAAAGATATCTTTGACTGGAAGCACTTCGTGAACTTGTTGAAAGAGGATATTGAGGTTGTGGAATCTCTGCCACAGAAATATGCAGGAATCAAACCACTCGTGAAGGAACCAATCTCTTATTCCAAGGTATGATTCGATCATAGCTATGGCTGAAATATGGCGCGTGCGCACAAACACACTAACTGCCACTTCTTCCAGAGCCCATACTACAGGGACCTAGCCAAAATTTTAAAGAAAAAAAAGGTGATGGTATTCATAAAGATTGATTCAAGAATTGCAAACAACGGCCTTCCCCCTTCAATCCAGAGGCTACGATGTCGGGCAAACTATCTGGCGCTGAGATACACGCCACAGATCGAAGAGCTGGGAAAGGAGCTGGGGAAGAGACTAAGAAATGGAGACAATCACTATATTGCACTTCATTTGAGGTATCTTCATCTCTCTTTCAATGTAAGTATAATTTATGGTTAAAAACATCATGAAATGACAGGTATGAGAAGGACATGCTTGCTTTCACTGGCTGCAGTCATAATCTTACTCAGAAGGAGGCAGATGATCTTCAATTAATGAGATACAAGGTCAGGCATTGGAAGGAGAAGAGGATAAACGGTGAAGACAAGAGAGTTCAAGGAGGGTGTCCATTGACGCCACGAGAAGCTGCTTTATTCTTAAAAGCTTTGGGATATCCATCAGCAACCAACATATACATAGTTGCTGGTGAAACTTTTGGTCACGACAGCATGGCTTCTTTAAAGCAAGAGTTTCCCAACATTCATACACATAAAAGTCTAGCAACAGAAGAAGAGTTGAAGCCTTTCAGATCATACCATAACCGGCTTGCTGCCATTGACTATATTGTAGCCATAAACAGTGATGTATTTGTGTATACTTATGATGGAAATATGGCAAAAACAGTACAAGGTCACAGAAGATTTAAAGGATTTCTCAAGACTATTAATCCTGATAGGTATGCCATACGCCATTCTGAGCAAAATGGTTTTTGTTGTCATTGCTACATGTTTGCAGCTTAAATTTTGGTATTTAGATTGTTTGATTTTAATAATGTAGGAGGAAGATAGTGGAACTGATAGATAAGTTGGACAAGGGTGGTATAACATGGGAGAAATTTGAAGATCAAGTTAGACGACACCACGTAAAAAGACTTGGAGGACCATATGAAAGGCAAGCTGGACCAACAGCAAAACTAGAAGAAAATTTTTATGCAAATCCTATTCCCGGCTGCTTGTGCCAAAAACTAAATTGATTCATCTTTAAAAGATTTGATCAATGATGCAAAAAAGTCTATACAAAGATTTTCGATTTTCTGAGTTAAATTACACAGCCACTGGAGGACAAATGGATTCTTCAGGTAAAGATCCAGATCATTGCAATACTCTGAGGACCTGATTGCACAGAATGTACAGATTTCAAAATTCTCACGTGACAAGGAATGGTCAAGAAAGAAAGTTAGCAAAGCATAATACAAATGGAGAAAGGTGAAAGAAAAAAAAGGAAAAATTGACTTCCACAATTTTCTTTAGCACGGTAAAGCAGAGCTTAGTGTACACATCATTTGATTCTTGAAATCGAACACTCATACTAATTAGTTAGTTGATATTCTTTGAACCAAACCTATAATTTTCTTGATTTGAATATTCAGTAGCTCCCTGCATGGAAGTCAAACTGTAATTGGCTCTCATGGTTATTTGTAATTTGTTTTTTGCCTTACTTTGATTAATAAAATACATATTCTTTGACTGGTTCTGCTTTCATGTTTGAATGTTATCGACAATTAAAAATCATTTTTATAACTTACTGAGATGGTATTAAATCTGAGTAGTAATCAATCAAAATCTTTTGAACAGTTCTCCAACATTCAATGGAGATGTACTAATAAAGTTACAATAAGGTAAACTGCAATTCAAATAATTAGAGTTATTATTGATGTCTATAAATTTCAAACATATGTTATCATTTAATAAATGGTTTTCTATGGTTTCAGACAAAATATTACAGTGGCCATGCTTTAGTACACGGTAAAGCAGTATAACTTTGGTACGGAGTGGTTATAAATGAATCAAGTAAGAACAAGCAACAATGAAATCAGGACACTTAGAGCTTTCATGAGATTTTATTGTTCAAATGATCCAATATCTGTCTCATCAACATTGGTAGCCAGGGTGACGCAACAGCAAAATCAGGGAGAGCTTTCAGGGAAAGTATAAAAGGTTAAATAAATATTTAAGGCAGGAAATTTGAAAGTCATTCAATTTGTTTAATCTAATTCTCAGTTGTAGCATCCTAAAAAGGGTCAAGAAAACTCTCCTGCCAGCAGCCATCAACCGACCATCATCGGCCACTATCACCACCAGTCACTGCACACCTGCCCATTGTTGACCTCGTATTTTATATTATTTTCATTTTACTTCAAACAAAAAAAATAAAATACGAAGACATCTATTTATTTTACATTGAACCAAACAACTCAAAGTATTCCAAATACAATACATTACTTTTACACTTACTATTTTAAAAGACTCGTGGCTTCTCACAATACTCGTCCCTGCATTTCGTATGCTGTCAATGTTGTGAGTAAAAGCATGCACAACACTGAAAAAAATCACATCTTAGGATAGTTTGCAGAACGTTACAGTACCTGAATTGAATCTCGGGTAAGAGAATTTTATTAAAAGAAAAGAGGATTTAACTTTTGAGGCAAATACAAATATAGATTATACAGGTTCAATGGTAGATGATGATGAATGCAATGTAGCTGTTAGCTTCTGCTTTTCTATAACCCGCTACAGATAGGGAAGATCCTTCTGAACAATTTACTGAATACATTATTACAAGAAAATTCCTCACCTACTCTGATACATAGGTATGTCTATATATAGTATTTGTGAGTGAAAATCTTGGCGATCAGAGGTTGAAATTTCTACAATTAGTGATGCAAAGGACATTGTAGAGCAGCTTGCCATGTGGAAATTACAACAGACTGGAATCTTTAAGCGTGGAGTTTTCTGACAGGAGATCTTCATAACATTGCAAACTCTTATTGCATATTCTTAAGATGCAAGATCATGACTAGAACTTAAATAAGCAAAAATGTGGTAATTACATAACACACCGCCCGAAACTTGCTATTTACAAATCAACCACCCTCTTCTATCTATTTTCAAATTTTCACTAAAATATCAGAATTCATGGTAAAACCCAACCCATATTTTTCATTTTTATCAAATTCGCAATAGTTAATGGTGGCATGTGTAAATACAACGGTTCGGAGGTTAAAAAAAATCACATTGGTGATTTTGTAAATATCAATGTTTCGGGTGGTCTATATGTAATTATCCCAAAAAAGGATATCATAGCAAGATTTAGTGAAAAAGCCAAATTTAAATTTATGGAACTGAAAATCTATAAATTGCAATGGATATTATGAAATATTAAAAGGATGAATACAAAGGACCTATGGGCCTTTATTGTGAAAGTAAGTAAACGATAAAAATATTGCACATAATCTCAAGCAATAAAATCATACAAGGCATCTTGAAGATCAAATTGATTTCATTTTTGAGTCACGTTGGATTTAAAAAAAAATTGATTTCCAGTAGAACAAAGCTTACTTAGATTCTATCATGTATCGGTCACATATGCAAAGTTTTAATAGTACAGGCAACTAAAAGTCTTATGAGCAAAGTTTCCATAATAGAGCTGGAAAATTAACTTAAAAATAGAAGGTCGCTTCGAAATGGGATTGGCTTTTGGCGCAATAATTGGAAGTGGAAAACCTAGCTTGAATCAAACTTGAATTAAGCTAAGCCTGGATTAAAAAAAAAGATATCTTGAGATTATAACAAAATATATATAATGCATGATTTTTTTCTTGTGGCATAATGTGTCTTATGCATTATGATATATGCATCTATACATTTATATGTATATGAATCTATATATATATATATATATATATATATATATATAAGTATGTTAGACGAATGATTTGTCTTAAATGACAAAATAGAACAGCATAGGCTTGATTTGCTGCTAAAATCTAAGGTAACAAATCATGCATGACTCAAATTAAGAGCAAACAAAAACAACCTATAACAAGGCTTGGTTAGCTTAAGATTGAATCAAATGACCTATAGTTGAAGTAGAACCATAAAAAAACTATATACATCAATCCCAAATATACAGGGGCAATGGCCACTCTCAAACTCTACTTAATTCAATAATTGATCTATATTACAATATTACTAAATTTGGGGACCCGAATTCTGTGGATCTTATTTGTCTCATAAAGAAAATATGAGCAAGCAAATTGAGGCTTTAAAAGAAAACTTTGAGCACACAGATTGAAGACTTATATCATTTGATCAATTTTTAAATAGTCATTAGATTAAACCCGTGTGCTCATGATTTATTGGCTCCCTTTTCTAATAGTCTTTAGATTATAATTTGTTATTGCTTTATTAACTCCCTTTTAATTATTTTATTTAAAGGGGTCTTACTAAAACCATAAACATCCTCTTTGTTTTGTATAAGCAAACTTATTTTTCTCTTGCTTTAGTTTCATGTAGCAGAAGCTGCTCACATATAATTTCTTATTTGATATAGTGAATTCTCCTCCTCTATCCATGTTTTTCACGTTTTGGGATTTCCACATAAAATCAATGTTCTTTCTTTTGTTTATTTCATTGCTTGCTGCATCAATTCGATACCAAATTTTATACCAAGTGGCATTAGAGACAAAATTTGATCTAAATGATGACAATGATGAAGTATAATATCCCCCTCTTAAATTGCAACACTAGATTTTTGCTTTGACAAGTTAAGATGCGGCGAGTTGTTTGTTTATAAGAACATCATACAACTGAAAAAAAACATATGGTAAGACTGATCATACAGCATTCACAGATGAAATGGCGACTGATTTCAAGATCAAATGAGTAAACTGTGCAGTTAATGTAAAATCAGCGAAGAGCACAGAATAATAGAAAGCTGCGGTTTTCTTAGAAATTTCTTTCAAATAATACGATGGGAATTATGTGGTAATTCATGCAACTGTGCTGAAATGGAAATGATGTAATTCCCAATTGATTTTCAGCTCAGAAACGTTACAATTTTCCAAGTTGATGTAAATTAGTTAATTCAACTAGGACTAGAGCAACATGTAATTGATTAATCAGTCAGAAAAAAAAAAACAAAATAAAAAGCAGTGGAAAGTACCGAGCTCTCTTACCAGTGCAAAAATGGACAAAATAGAATACAGTGAAGGCAGCTTATATGATATACATTGAAAAAACACACAATTTATTCAAAATTCAACAAGGAAAAGTTTGATCTACATCAGGTTTGTGTAACAGCAGCAAAAAAAACACACAAAGATTGAAAGCTTCACTTATTCAATGGGAAGCATGACCTCATTTGTCCTCAAAGGAGGCAAAGTCCAGGGGGGATTATACCTGGCAAGCACATGCTCGCCAACCAATTTATACCCATCCCTCTCCAAGCTCTTCCTCAACTTCTCCGCCCTGTCCGCTGCAGTAGTCTCCGTCGCCACGCCGCTGAATCTCACAACCCCATACTTCCTCTCCCCCACCTCCCTTATCCTCACCCTCTCGTCCGTCGGCTGCGGAGCATCCTCCGCCCTCGCATACTTTGCCGGAAGCACGAATTGCATCGTTATTGGGGTCGATCCTCCTCCGCCGCTGGTAACGACGGGCGCCGTCATGTCAATCTTCTCAGCGGAGTGAGTGATGACGGGGGCCGTCATGGGGATTTTCTCGGGCCGGGAGTTCTGAGGTTCGCCAACAGCGCCGATGTATTTGGCGAGGATCATGAAGCCCCCATCGCGGTCGCCTAGAAGAGCGGGGTCGTAGGTTACCTCGGCGAGAACGGAGGGAGGGTAGGTGCGGATCTCGTAATCGGCGGTTTTGAGGATGAGTTGGTATTTAGGGGTTTCGACGGAGATTTTGCCGAGGATTAGCCCCATCGGAGATTCGAGATTGAGGGTTCTGTAACCTGCAGCTGAGTGTGGTTTATGGTTTAGCTCTTGTGGGTATGTATAGGGTGTGGTGTGTGAGAGGGATCGTCTTCGTCGCCGCGAATGCAATCATGGCTTCCATTCGTCCACGTCTTCGCCGCCGCGGATGCACACCTGAAGTTCATGCGTGCGCGCGCGTCGCGGAGCTCACAGTATTTTATAAATATTGGAAGTTTGAAATGAATAAAAAATTAAAATGAAAATTTATCTCTATAAAAGATTTTAATAAAATTTTAAATGAAGTAAAATTATCCTCATTTTTATAACAATTATTGTTATTATACTTATGGCGGCTTTACCTATGTGCCACCAAATTCCTATGCATTCACATATGAGCCACCTAAACTTGTATGTAAAAATTGAAGTGGAGGTGTTTGATATAAGGGTGTGCATTGTTGGGATAAATTTGAAAAATCGATTCGAGCTAAACTGATTTATTGATTTGGTTTGATTTTTTAGAAGATGTTCGATATTTGATTTTAAAATCTCCAAACTTTGGTTTATCAGTTACGGTTTGATTTAAAAAAATAATAATAATTTAATTGTAAACCGAGTATTAAGGGCAAGGCGGCAGAACCAGCGAAGACCGAAATCTTATTCAGATTCCATACGTCGGCTGAAGACTGAAATAATCTACTTAGGGAGACTAGAGGGTTAGGGTTTGCTATCCATTTTGATTTGAAGAAGTTGTCGACTAGCCTGCACCCTTGCACTGCTCACCTTGCCACCAACACTGATTGGCTCGTGCTTTGTGTCCTTTGTCGTTGGTTGCCTGGCTCACCTTCATTAAAAGGTTTGTTTCCTCTTTTTTGTAAGGGTGAAGGTAAGGGCCATAAGGCCCGTGAAGAGGTGTCTAGACTCAATGGTGGAAATGAGAAAGTGGGGAGGCCTAAAGAGCCTTGGTCCTCTTGGTCTTGGATATCCCGGTTCAAAACCCCTAGTATTTTCAAACGCTTGCTTTCCCGTTCTAGTTGTTGCCCTAATTTCTTTTACTCCATCTTCTTCAACAACTCCATCTTCTATAACAGAGGTATGCATTTCTTAATCCTAACTGAGTAGTAGGGTCACTAGTGTGAACCGTTGAAGAAATTTGTGGTTCATTTTGAAGTGCACTATGATTAGATGGTGGATTTACATAAACTATCCAGTCTTATTGTTTCATTTTATGGAATAAAGTTGAACGATATGCTTAAATATAAAAAACAAATATAAGGAAAGCATATCAAAGTATTTTGAGAACGGATTTAACCCGTTTTTATATGGTGGAAAGCAAAATTTCATTTGGCATATTCTTGATTTGATTTCTCATTTTTCTTTTCTTTGGCATGTCGTTATTGTAGATTTTGATTTCTCATGAATAATCTCTTAAAATTTAAAATCTGCACTTGGTATACTCTGATTTGGTTTCTCATGAATATTTTCATTACTTAGTTTTGGTTTCTCATCTTTCTTTTCTCTGGTATGTCATATATATATATATATTAAAAAAATTGGCTTGTTTGCTTGAAGTGCCTAGCTAAACAAAATATGCTCAAACGTGGCTTATTTATATTTTTAGTTATGGACAAGTCTGTTTAGTTTGACAAAGCCTTAAGCCTAAAGCTTCACAGCTTGCATCAAGTCTAGTCTAGGTAGCATGATGGTTAGTTTCCTACAGCTTGGCATGTTTGTCCTGCTTTCCATGTTTAGAATTCTTGTGTGGCTTGCATTGCATTAATTGTTCTAGAGGATGGAGTTTGTATGTTTACCTACTGAAGTATGATTGAGTAGTTTTGAAACATAAGTTACATTTAATCGAGAAAAGATGGTGGCATGCTTAAAGCTCTACATGAGCTTATAATATCCTTGATGATTTATCATCTTCATTATTGGCCTTATCCCAACTATTTAGGATTGGTGTTATGAATTTTCATCATCATAGTCTGAGTTGTTAATCCTATTCTTCATAATAATTTTTTGGAATAACTTATATTTATGTAATCTTAGGTCAACTCTTATTTTTTTTCTTTATCATCAAGATCGGGATTCCCTTTGAGTATTTTATTATTGGGGCATTATATACATTCCACCAAATTTTTATGTATTTACATAGAGACAACTAATTCCTATCATCCTATGCATTATTTGGTGTTGCTGTTCTATTTGTGGATTTCTATAAGATGGAAATGAATCTTAATAATCTAGAGTGTAGACTTGTTTTGCTGATTCATTCCCTCCTGCTGTCTTGAGAAGGAAATAATTAATCAATTTTCGGGTCGTGAACCCATTAGTGGACTGCATAAATTTGTTACGATGAATGATTGAATTATGCAATCATTGACTTAAGCAATCACTATGTGCCCCTTTTTTTGCAAGCAAAGTGTTGAGCTGTGTATCTTATTTTGAGCAGTTTATTTTTGTTGTTCTTTCTAATGAAACATGAGTTTTGATTTATATAAAATGTATTAGACCAGAAGACATGAAGTTTCGATTTATATATGTGATCATTCTTTCTAATGAATTTCATGTGATTTTTAAAAGATTGTCGGATGAGAAAAAATCAATATGCATGAATTTCACGTGATTTTGTGTGGAAATCATGTGAAGTTTCTCTAGTAATTTACACTTTCTTTTTCCTTGACATGGGTTTCTCTTTTCTTTTTCTATGCATACATGTATGTATTAAATCATTCACGAGTACATACAACCCGGCCAAAGATCCAATACCGTAAAGGAGATGCAAGGAAAGATGGAGAGATGACCCAAAATCTGTACATTACGAAATGTGTTAAATTCTTATCTTTGATCAATTAGAGGAGTGTTATTGTCGTGTAGATTCTTTGAGTTGCAACATTTTAGAGGGAGAAAAAGAAAGAGGTGGAGAAAAAACCAGAGATTGAGTGACGACGCCTTTAATAAGATATTGATATATATCCTTTCTAACCATGATGACCTCTTCCAATATCTGTCATCGCACATGTGGGCTAGACTGTCATTTTCGATAGAATAAGCATAATCGTATTGGCAGGTGAGTTCGATTCAATCACATTAGCATGTGAGCTTCAGTTCAACCACTTCAACATGTGGACTTCGGTTCAACCACTTTGCCCAGACTCGGCTCGTGTCTGACTCATCTATATTTCGAGCCCAAAATGTGCGTTCGTGTTCAACTCATTTGCTTAGTGAGTCGAGCACGAGCTGTTCACGAACAAAGAGACGCTTTAACAACCCTTATCATGCACACATAAGATGTTATTAAAACATCATTTAATATAATCATTTTTATTCTATTTTCTTAATTAAAACTTTTAATTGATAATAAATCTTTGTAGCCTTATAATAAATTAAAATTTTTAAAAATATTACTCATCAATTATCAATTATATATAT